ATCATCCATCATGATCAAGTGGGATTCATCCCAGGGATGCAAGGATGGTACAACATTCAAAAACCCATCAACATCATCCACCACATCAACAAAAAGAAGGACAAAAACCACATGATCATCTCCATAGATGCTGCAAAAGCATTTGACAAAATTCAACATCCATTCATGATAAAAACTCTCAACAAAATGGATATAGAGGGCAAGTACCTCAAACACAATAAAGGCCATATATGACAAATGCACAGCCAACATCATACTTAACAGCAAGAAGCTGAAAGCTTTTCCGTTAAGGTCGGGAACAAGACAAGGATGCCCAGTCTCCCCACTTTTATTCAACATAGTTCTGGAGGTCCTACCACGGCAATCAGACAACACAAAGAAATAAAAGGCATACAGAATGGCAAGGAAGAAGTTAAACTGTCCCTGTTTGCAAATGACAAGACACTGTACATAAAAAACCCTAAAGAATCCACTCCAAAACTACTAGATCTAATATCTGAATTCAGCAAAGTTGTGGGATACAAAATTAATACACAGAAATCTATTGCATTCCTATACACTAACAATGAATAGCAGAAAAGAAATCAGGAAAATGACTCCATTCACAACTGCATCAAAAAGAATAAAATACCTAGGAATAAACCTAACCAAGGAAGTCAAAGACCTATACCCTGAAAACTACAAGACACTCATAAGAGAAATTAAAGAAGATACCAATAAGTGGAAACACATCTCGTGCTCATGGATAGGAAGAATTAATATTGTCAAAATGGCCATGCTCCCTAAAGCAATGTACAGATTCAATTCAATCCCTATCAAAATACCAACAGCATTCTTCAACGAACTAGAGCAAATAGTTCTAAAAATCATATGGAACCACAAAAGACCCCAAATAGCCAAAGCAATCCTGAGAAGGAAGAATAAAGCTGAGGGGATTACGCTCCCTGACTTCAAACTGTACTACAAAGCTACAGTAATCAAGACAATTTGGTACTGGCACAAGAACAGACCCACAGACCAATGAAACAGACTAGAGAGCCCAGATATAAACCCAAACATATATGGTTAATTAATATATGATAAAGGAGCCACAGACATACAATGGGAAAATGACAGCCTCTTCAATAGCTGGTGTTGGCAAAACTGGACAGCTACATGCAAGAGAATGAAACTGGATTATTATCTAACCCCAAACACAAAGTAAACTCAAAATGTATCAAAGACCTGAATGTAAGTCATGAAACCATAAAATGCTTAGGTGAAAACATAGGCAAAAATCTCCTGAATATTAACATGAGCAACTTTTTCCTGAACGCATCTCCTCGGACAATGGAAACAAAATTAAAAATGAACAAATGGAACTAGATCGTGCTAAAAAAGCTCCTGACAGCAAAGGACACCATCAATAGAACAAAAGGGATCCTACAGTATGAGAGAATATATTTGTAAATGACATATCTGACAAGGAGTTAACATCCAAAATATATAATGAATCACATGCCTCAACACCCAAAAAGCAAATAATCCTATTAAAAAATGGGTGGAGGATATGAACAGACAATTTTCCAAAGAAGAAATTCAGATAGGCAACAGGCACATGAAAAGATGTTCCACATCGCTAATTATTAGGGAAATGCAAATTAAAACCACAATGAGGTATCACCTCATGCCAGTTAGGATGGCCAACATAGAAAAGAATAGGAACAACAAATGCTGGTGAAGATGTGGAGAAAGGGGAACCCTCCTACACTGCTGGTGGGAATGTAGGCTAGTTCAACCATTGTGGAAAGCAGTATGGAGGTTCCTCAAAAAACTAAAAATGGAACTACCACTTGACCCAGGAATTCCACTCCTAGGAATTTATCCTAAGAATGAAGTTTCTCAGTTTCAAAAAGACATATGCACCCCTATGTTTATCACAGCACTATTTTACAATAGTCAAGAAATGGAAGCAACCTAAGTGTCCATCAGTAGATGAATGGATAAAGAAGATGTGGTACATATACACAATGGAGTATTATTCAGCCATAAGAAGAAAACAATTCCTACCATGTGCAACAACATGGATGGAGCTAGAGGGTATTATGCTCTGTGAAATAAGCCAGGTGGGGAAAGACAAGTACCAAATGATTTCACTCATCTGTGGAGCATAAGAACAAAGCAAAAACTGAAGAAACAAAACAGCAGCAGACTCACAGAACCCAAGAATGGACTAACAGTTACCAAAGGGTAAGGGACAGGGAGGGTGGGTGGGAAGGGAGGGAGAAGGGGAATAAGGGGCATTACGATTAGCACACACAATGTAGTGGGGGCAAGGGGAAGGCGATACAGCACTGAGAAGACAAGTAGTGACTCTATAGCATCTTACTACTCTGATGCACAGTGACTGTAATGGAGTATGTGGTGGGGACTTGATAATGGGGGGAATCTAGTAACCAAAATGTTACTAATGTAATTGTATATTAATGATACTAAAATTTAAAAAAATACGACGACAACTAGCATAAGTTGGCACTGCCTTGATTTATGCTAAGGCACCAGAATTTTACCCATTTTTGCTTCTGTGCCATCAGGGCAATGTCAACACAGTGAAAGGGCAAATAACATCTTAGTATTATTATGAAAATAGTTTTGATCTCACAGACTTCTTGAAACGATCTTGGGAACCCCAAAGGGTCTGAAGACCATACTTTGCAAATGGCTGCTCCAGATAACTTAGGAAACCCAGCTTCAGTCAACTGGTTTCTCAGCCTGCCAGCTGGAGAAGAAGTACCAAAGCTCAATCAAAGCGGATGGAATGATGTAACCCAACAGGGCGACAAGAAGAAAAATGTGCCCTACAGAGTAAAGTGAGGCTGTCATCAAAGCAGTGATCATCAGCCTGATGACACCAAGGGTTAGGAAATGACCTAACCCCAGCACCCAACCTAAACACACCACCACGGTAGTGTGTGGGGTTCCTATCTGCACCCCTGATTAGGGATTTTTCCTGAGCCCTTACCCCCTAGAAGAGCCAGATATGTTCATGTATATACTTTGTTCCTTAGACTTTGTTCTTTGGAAAAGTAGATAACAGAGTGGGGCAAGGCACAAATAGACAAGCAATCAGTTCAAAAACTTGTCTCTAAGCTTCTCACATGTTAGAGATTCACTTGAGCTAATAAGAACCCCAAATCAGCTTATACTTTAATCATACTTGGTATGTTTTCTACACATAAATGCTTGTGTGGATCCAGGCTCTACGCAAGTACTCAACTAACCATCCAAGTCCCAAGGAAGTACTTTCTCCTGTACCACTTGTGATGGGATGTCTGACATTACTTACACATAGGCTTTCCTGGATACCCACCTTATATCACAGTATCAGTGCAAGATGGGCCCTTAAAACAAAGGATACCCTGGAAAATGTCCCAATACAAGCCCAAGGAAGGTGTCTTCTTATTTGCTCAATTTCTAACAAACAAGGGGAAATTATCTGGAGCTGACATGTACAACCCAATGTGAAAAAAAGGGATATTCAGAACAGCTAAAAGGCATGCATTATCTTCAATACAAACAAAACCATTACATATAATCTTGAAGTTACCAGCTGGCTGGTTTTAAACTTCTGAGAGGTCCCTTTAAAAATGAAAATCTAGACTCCACATGGTTAAGCATTGCATAGACAAGTTGATGTCTGAGAACAAGAAGGAGAAAAACTAGAAGGGAAACTATAGAGACAGACACTTAGAAGAAGTATTTCACAGTAACAAGCATGGCCTTGGAAGGGAAGCTATTGTATCACTGACTGCATCTGGAGCTCCTTCTGCCTGTGGGAAGCCAACTGGGTGGATAAGGTTGGGGAAAGAGGGGAAATACGGTCCTCACTGCTGCCAGTTGTGCTTTAAGCAATCTTTCCCTCGGCTAACATTGAAAGCAAAAAGGGAATCCCCAAAAGCATGCCACATGAGAAATAAGCTACAGGGACTGAATCTTTATGAGCAGAAATCAGTTAGTGGTGGAGAGGGACTGATAATGTGGACAGACCATATCATCTAGTTCTATTCCAGTTCACAAGAGAAAATTCCCTGCACCAAGAAAGACTACAGCCACAGACAGCCTCCCCAGTAATGAGTCCCAAGAGAAGCTTCTGTGGTCTCCTTGGGCAGTCACAGGGGTCAGAGTAAGTCTTAAACTAAAAGATCCATCAGTAAGTCACACCCAACCTGCCAGGGGCCACAAAAATGGTGACAGCTAAGCTTGAGAAATAAACAGAAGGGCTGCAAAAGATGGAATCCTGGCATCCACGGAAAATAACAGGGGTCTGCTGAGCTGCAGACTGAGTAAGAGATCTCAGTGGGGTAGAAAGTCTTCCTCTGAATCTTCTAAGCTGAGTGTTGAGCACCAGTCTGTACAGCTTCAGAATGGGATCCTCAAGTATATCTTATTTGGAGAAACTGAGGCCCAAAGAGGGCCAAAGTCAGCCCAGATGAGTCTTGGGATTCTGTTTCCAGGAATAAGAGTTAAACCTTCCTTAGGGAATGCAAAGCAGATCCTCTTCTCTATCAACCCTGTGAATTTTTTAAGTGCAGGAGTTTTTCCTCCCTCTTCCCACTTCTTCAGCCAAATGACCTGGCTGTTTAGTGATATAGACAGAAGTCATGGAGATTTTACAAAGGAGGCTTCCAATTGCGCTTGGAGGTATTTGAGGTTCTAGCACAGATGACCTATGGTTCTAAATTAAGAGAATGTTCTCTCTAGAAGTTTTTCTTATGTGCAGACGGACCAGCACCAGCCTGTTGGAACCAACACAGCTGAAATGGACAAAGAATAGGAAACAGACTAGAGGGGGCAGGCAGGGAGCTCACATCTCAGTGCTGTTTCTTGCCTAATCTCTTTATATTTTACTTTCAACTGTAGAGTAGGAAATTTGTAACATGCAGGAGCAAAGTAATGCTAAGGAAGACTATGTTTTAGTAACATGGTTCCCACCAAGGAGAGCAGAAGAAACAGTTACTTACGTTGTACTGTTGCTCTCCCCAAACCGCTGGTAGGAGCTGGAGGAAGAGAAGTTGTTGAGACCTTCGGATGGGCTCTCCTCTGGGCTCACATCCGTGGAGCTGTAGTCATGGTAGTCCTCATTCCGAAGTCTCTGTGTGGACATGGTAGCTGGGGAGACAGGGTCAGCACTAAGACCATCAGTGGCTGGGGCCTTTAGCTCCAAGCCTGGAGTGGGCTCTGGAGCAGAAGCAGCCATTGGCACAGCCTCTCAGGGACAGGTGCACTCTGGATTAAGTACAGTGATAGTGCCTGATACTAAGGGAAATGGAAAAGGTGCAAAGTACACATGGGCGGGCTGAGCTCACTTGACTTCTGCCTCCCAACATTCCCAGTGGGTGCCACACTCATAAATTTCTAAATTTGCCACAGCACAACTGAACAAAGCAAAGGTGAGGCACGGCTTGGGAGGTGTCAGGGAGGATACAGAAACGAACTTCCAGGAAACCTTCCCTGTCCATAGCTTAGGATAATTATCCCTTCCTTTGAGCTAATTTCTTCGGCTTTGAACAATAATATTGTATCTACATCCATCTTCCCCAAGAGCAAGCTCTCAGAGGATGGAACCTGACTGTTCCTCATTAACTCCTTCTTTTCCTCTGCATTCACTAGAGAAATGAACCTTGTTATATTCAAGAAATCCCCTTTCTATCACCTAGTTCTGCTCAAACTCTTCACCAGGTTCCAGAGCCACAGACATCTTTCTCTCTCTCCACCATGACCTCTGGCCTATCCTAAACTCTTTGGAGGTCATCAAGGACTCTTACCTGCTTACCTTAGGACTCGTTTCTTGCAACCGGTCTGCATACTAAGAACTGGCAACTGAAAGCAGCTCACAGGAAGACAGGAGCATAGGTGGGCTCACCACTGGCTTCTCCACAAACAACCCTTCCTTTTGATTTTTACAGATCTGCCAATTTTTTAAATATGGTAAAAAAAAGAAACCCTTCCTGTTGTATGTTGGGGAAGGATGCTGAGGGTGTTATTCCCTGGGTGGACTTTCTCAGTAATGTGCCACTACAGAAAAGAGAAGAATGACTTCTCCAAAATACACAGTAAGGATACATTGTAAGAGTCATGTAGGTTCCCAGAATCCTAGAGACTGTTGCTACAAGAGCCTTCAGAGGCTCATTTTGCAGATGAAGGATCAACCCCTAAAAAGGGCAGGAAACTGCTTTGCTACAGCCAGATAGCACTAAAGCAGTAAACATATATCCTGATGCCCTGCCTCAATCTGGAAACATCTACTGAATACATAGCCACTTGAAATGAAGGAATACTATAATGAAAAGGAGTCAACTTCCTACCCTCCAAGAATCTGCAATCAAGTGAGGAAAACTAAGGTACATTAACATTAAAAATTACAAAAATCCTTCTGACCCTTGGCATCCCAGCACAACTGCCTGCCTGTATAGGGCTCTCCCCAGCATGTGGCTGGACGCCCACCCTGAGTCTGCTGTGCTGTCTCGGGTGCGTGGTGAGGAGGCACGATCTCCAGCGTCAGCCCACCCAAAACCCAACAGTGGCTGCCAGAGGACAGTGCTCTGTGCTGAGTGCTCTAACAGGTCCGGTCCCAGGGGACTCTTTGGAAACCTGTCCCACCCTGGAACCTGGGTGACCCAGGGGTGAACTCATTTTCTTCCACCAACTCTAATGGAGGAGGAAGCACCCCACATAATCTCACAAGGAAAGTGCTTGGCAGAAAGCCAGTAAAGGATTTAGAAGTCCTAGAGAAGATCCTGCCTAGCTTCACCACCAGTGTGTCCTTGCTAAATATCTAAGAGGGCATTATTGACTCACATGTTGGAGGAATTCAAGGAAGTCATCTAGCAGTGGGGCAATTAAACTCCTAAGAGGGCCAGGGGAAAAAAGGCTATGAATCTTCAGAGGCTCATTTTGCAGATGAAGGATCAACCCCTAAAAAGGGCAGGAAACTGCTTTGCTACAGCCAGATAGCACTAAAGCAGTAAACATATATCCTGATGCCCTGCCTCAATCTGGAAACATCTACTGAATACATAGCCACTTGAAATGAAGGAATACTATAATGAAAAGGAGTCAACTTCCTACCCTCCAAGAATCTGCAATCAAGTGAGGAAAACTAAGGTACATTAACATTAAAAATTACAAAAATCCTTCTGACCCTTGGCATCCCAGCACAACTGCCTGCCTGTATAGGGCTCTCCCCAGCATGTGGCTGGACGCCCACCCTGAGTCTGCTGTGCTGTCTCGGGTGCGTGGTGAGGAGGCACGATCTCCAGCGTCAGCCCACCCAAAACCCAACAGTGGCTGCCAGAGGACAGTGCTCTGTGCTGAGTGCTCTAACAGGTCCGGTCCCAGGGGACTCTTTGGAAACCTGTCCCACCCTGGAACCTGGGTGACCCAGGGGTGAACTCATTTTCTTCCACCAACTCTAATGGAGGAGGAAGCACCCCACATAATCTCACAAGGAAAGTGCTTGGCAGAAAGCCAGTAAAGGATTTAGAAGTCCTAGAGAAGATCCTGCCTAGCTTCACCACCAGTGTGTCCTTGCTAAATATCTAAGAGGGCATTATTGACTCACATGTTGGAGGAATTCAAGGAAGTCATCTAGCAGTGGGGCAATTAAACTCCTAAGAGGGCCAGGGGAAAAAAGGCTATGAAAAAAAAAAAAGCTGTATCTTATTATAGGCCGTTGAAAGCTGCTGTTCAGGCAAAAACTAGTAAGTTAGCTTCTATGTATAGCAGAAGGCCTAGGTTCTATATGTCCTTTATCACCAGTTTGCTTGGTAACTTGGAACAATTTTCTTTATTTGCTTAGGGTCTTAGTTCCAAATGCACAAGCAGGGAGTTTAAACTAAAATATCTCTGAGCATCTTTCTAGCTCTAATACTCTAGGAATCAAATAATGTAATTAGTTACACAGCTAATTTCTAGCCTTTTCTAACATACAAAAAGTGTCTGAGAAAAGAGACTTCCAGATGAATCCTGCATATTACTGAGGGAGAAAGAACAGAATACAGGGACTGACAAATTCCCCAAATTCTCCCCAACACCAAGAAACTGCTCTGTCGCTTATTTTGTACAGATGCTCAATTCATTCCAAACATTGTAAAGAGGACTCTTACTGTTGTATATAAAAACTGAAGTTACTCACAGCAGAATATTGCTAAGAAACTGCCCCAAAAGTAAAGTCCAAGAAACAACTGCAGGATGTGGGAGATGTGACTTGGCTTGGCAACTGCAGGCATGTTGAAAGGAAGAAGAAGAAAAAAACAGCACTTACGGGTTTTAGTTGATGATAAGTTCAACAGTCAGTGATATAACAGATGGCAAACAAGCTGATGTAATTGTAGCTTGCATTAAGACAAGAAAGAACTCCAGGTAAATGACGGCACCCATTTGTTTTTTCCATGAATTGTGCTCTGTTCCAGGCAGCACACTATAAAGGGAACAATGACAGCCTGTGGTGTAGGCAGGGGTCAGCACCAGGATTAGGAGGGGGATGCAAACCAACTAAATGATGAATGGTTGGAAACACTGAGAAGCTTCAACCTGGAGAACTGGCAAGTGGGGGGGTATACAAACTGTCCTTAAGAGCTGTCCTATGGATACAATTTGTCCTGTGGAGCCTCAAAAACCAGTCAGAAATAGGATCAGTAGGTGGAAAGTAAAGGGAAGCAGGTCTTTTGAGGTAGGTCTCCCTCAGTAATAGCCAAGATTCATCTGGAAGTCTCTTTTTTCAGATACTTTTTGTATGTTAGAAAAGGCTAGAAATTAGCTATATAACTAATTACATTCTTCGATTCCTGCATAATCAACATTAGGAAGAACCTTTTTTTTTTTTTTT